ATTATTTGAAATCCCTTACAGTGAGTATAACCGATCGTGCTGAAAAGTTGGATACTGAATGTCAATTGCAAGCTATTTTGGATCGAACACTTCGTTTATATACTCTCAAATTTCAGTATTGGCCGGAGACTTTTACAGATATACCATCATTGAATTATTCAAGTAATTCAGTTCGTCGACTTGATTTACAAGACATTGATCGACCTTTCAATCATCGTCAGTGTATTGTATTGAGTCGTTCATCATGAAACAAACAATGTGAAGTACTGTCAATTACGATAAAATATCGAAGAAGTATCCCTGCTAACTTTACGAAAGTTAGGCCATAGGTCCCATAGCAAAGTTTCGATATTTGGGCCATATTTTTCTGATAGTTTAAGATATCGAATATTGGTTTTCACCAATGGATAGAGCTCATCGAGTTGTACTCTGGAACTTCTTGGAACAGTTCCTGGGTGAATCTCCGCTAATTTTAATCGAACACTTAGCTAACTTCACCTACGTGACTTACCAATACTTTTTTCGAAAATAGTTTTTGTTTTTTCGAGAAAGACGATAACAATAAAAGTTCACATCACTTGTTGCTTTTTATTGGTACCTTCATACATGATCAGCAATATTTCATAATTAATGTAGACAAAAGTAAGAGACAATCATCAGACAACTGATTCAAATGATGTTAATTAGTAGACATTATATATTGACCATTGATTAGCGGATATTCGCTGACATCAAAAGAAATTTTTAACTAGCCAGACGAAAAAACATTGTTGAAAAAAAAGAAATAAGTAAATATTTTATAAATTGACGATGTGTTTTTTTCTATGCATAAGACTTTTTTTTTGCTAACTTAACATAGAAAATGTATCATATCTGCCATATCCATGCAAAGATTATTAATCTATTCAGTAATCAAATAGTCGACCAATCTGCTGAAGTTTCTGAATGCAAACGATAATTTAGAATTATTTCTAAATTGAAAACTGCAGCTAAAATTTTGCGCCTAATATCAAATCAATTTTGCCTGTGACATATATAAGTATTTTTCAAACATAATCAATGTGTGAAATATGGTTAATTTTGTGTGGGTAACATTGGGTAGGAATGTAGAGTGTGGATGTGCAGCTGTATTGATTGGGCCTCATACGCCCACACTCAAAGCATCCTCAATAATTAGCTCGAAGGGTCACACAACTTGTGAACGATTGAACAGAGAGAAAATTTTTTCCTTTTCTTAGGCCAGAAACATTTCTCTTTGTTTAGTACTACAATATTTTACCAATTGAAACAAATCAATTGCGTTGAGAGTGGTTTTGTTTTCAGTACATCTGTTAATAAAAATTATTGCTCACGATAATAATAAGATATGGCAATGATGGAGTGCTTTTGCTAATTGAATATTAAGTTCTGGCAAACAATTGGATAGTGCTCAAGTCAAATTGTTATTCATTCATATCTCAATCGAAAATTTCGATGGATTCGAATGAAACTTCATAGAAATTGATAGAAACAAACTCATACTACTAACTTTGAGATGAGAATATTCCACACATACTAGTCTATTTCGTCAAGATATTTCGAGATCGAATAATTATTTTTATTGCCAAAACTTCTACAAATAAAGAATATCATTGATTTTTTTCCTTTTATAAATCATCTAATTTGAATCTATTTCAATTGCTAAAAAAATTCATCCTGTGCATTCAGAGAACTACCAAGTTAAAGTTATAAGAAAGACTATTGATTTTCTTTCATCAATGAAATTTAATAGTGATTCCGACATGTTTAGGTAATAAAGTCAATTTTTGAATAAATCCACCTGCATTTACTTCAGAACCACCATCACCGATTGTTACTTGTTGTAACATACGAGCTAGAATTACTTTTAGTTCGAAGAGAGCTAAATCTCGTCCAAGACATTGACGATGACCACCTCCAAATGGCAGAAATGCATATGGATGATGATTTTTATCTTCATTAAGAAATCGTTCTGGATAGAATAATTGAGGATCAATTTTCCAATAACGCTTGTCTCGAGCAAGAGAGGATGTTGGAATCAATACTTGATCACCTTTGTAAAGTCGAGTACCACTTTTAGGAAGACAGTCGTTGACAGTGACTGAACGACATGTTGAATCAATTGTTGGGGAATAACGAAGTACTTCATTAATAAAACAATCCAAATAAATAAGTGAATCAAGATATTCCAATGATATATGTTGGCCATGATTATTTTCCATTAGTTCTGTCTTGATTTTTTGTTGAACTCTTGGCTGTTTACTTAGATGATAAATAGACCAAGCAAGAGCAGTAGAAGTCGTTTCATAACCAGCAATTAATAACATGAGTACTTCATCAAAAACTTCTTTTCGTGAAAGACCTATCAATAAAGTAATATCAGAAATAAACTTCAATACGTAGGAAAGGCAAATATTGCTGGAAATAAGGCAAATCTAACAAAATTTACGTCAGACAATGTATATCTAGACATTATTAGGAAACATTTAAGTTCATTCATGGAGAATATTGCAATATTTTTATATTATTGTTGAAAAACCTTTAATAGATTGAAATCTCGAGAAAATTTATAAGATTATTTGATGAATAATCTCGATTTTAGTAACTCAGAGATATCAAATGTTTATCTGTGTGTGAATGCGCAATTGTGTACAGTTTGACAAGATCTAATCACATGTAAACAGAAAAAAGAACGACCAATAGTATGTATATAGGAGTAGTGACTTCTACAATTCATTTCTACAGTTACATCCTCCACATCCGATGTAGCTGCACCATCTAAGAAGTGTAATCTTCTCAAAAAAGGAAAATGCACGACAAATTATTGTGGAAACAATGAATTAAAGTCAGGAGTTTAACAAATCAATTTTACCTCTTTTATCTTCTTCCTTTTTTTTGCTTCGGCTTTTTCATCGGTTTGTAATGAATTAACAAGTGATGCGATTAATGAAGTTTTCTTTCGTTGTGCTCTCGAATCTGAACTTTCAGCTAACTCTTGTTCAACCATTTTATTAAAATGTTGTTCGACTGTTGCTCTTGCTCGTTGAAATCGAGTATTCAATTTCATATAGACGATTGATACAAAACCAGGTGCATATAGAGCCATTTCATATGTACTCATAATATCGAGTAGGGCTACGGTCAATTCATTGTTATTGCTGGAAGATTGACTATCAAATGCCTCTAAATCATAATCAAAAGCAATTAATCCAAATATTTCAAGAAGAAGATTTTGACATTGTTCAACAATATCTGTATGCACTTGATCATGTGGTCTAGCACGCCATCTATCTAATAGTTTGTCAGTACTATCAATAATTGTGTTAATATTGGAAATGATTTTACTACGACGAAATAGTGGCATAGTAAGAGCACCATGTCGTTTGAATTTGAAATCTAGGCAATCAAAATGAATAAATATTTGTCATTACTAGACCAATAAGCAATACCTATGCTACAAATGATACTCTCAGGAACTAACAGGCTAAATTTTTCTAAAAATACTTGTCCTTGATCATAAATATTTCGATGCGTAAGAATGTACTGAACATCGTCAATATCATGTATAACAATGAAATGCATAAAACCGAGCCAATATTGATAAATATCACCGAATCGTTCCTTGAGAACTATATAAATATCACATTTTGATCTCTTACCTAACAATAAACCCGTTTGAATAAGATTTCCAAAAATAAGATGTGGAGACAAGCCAGGTATTGGACCACGAAGTGTAAAATATTTCAATTTAATATAAACGATCCAGATAATGACGAAAGAAAGCAACAGAAGGGTTATCATTATAACAACGCGTCGAATAAAAAAGTGGTAATCGTGAGTACATAATGATAAATATTAATGCTTATCTGCATGCAACGCCCTTTCTTTCTTTCTTTCGTTTTTTGCTGTTTCACTGTCCTCGTGTGACGCATACAGCTATAATACCATACAAAATGACCTAGAATCATATATTATATCTATGCATTAGTATGAATAGGTTTTTTTCTTAAATCATAGGTGATGTTGTCAAATAACGTCTGTCGTTTGTTCGTTTCAATCAGTTGCATTTAAATCATAGGAGTATTTATTCTCATAAGTCTAATCTGTTTCAAAAACAAACAAGAACATTTCATTTACAAAAATAACTATACTGTAGAAAGACTTCTTGTAAAATATGTGACTGGTGTATATTGTGATCAAGCGATAAATTATTGAAATCAACACACACACATATATATATATATATCATTGTAAATATAGTAAAAGCGTATTAAACTATTAAAACTTATTCTTCTTTTCTTGGTAGAATATCCATCGTTTAGTTACGTGAGTATAGAAGAAGAAACCTCACTTAAATCCACACTCACATCACCGCAGTGTAATGTGTGTTCTCGTTGGTGTGAAAGACATTGTTTTTTTGATGTTTACGCGTTCATGTCAAAATTTTTCGAAATCATTTCTGTTTCTTTCAAGAGACATGAGCACCGATTTATACAGATATTTTTCAATGGCGAGTACGTCAATCGACTGAAACAGAAATTTATATGATTAGTGCTGAGAGAATTAATGAATATTCTCACATTCCTCCAGAGCCAGATCTCTATAAAGAAGAGTTAGAACCACCACCTAATTGGCCAGTTGAAGGAAAAATTGAATTTGAAACATTTAAACTAAGTTACCGTCCAGAACTTGAACCTGTATTAAAAGGAATAAATTTAAAAACTGAAACACAACATAAAATTGGTATTATTGGACGTACAGGTGCTGGAACATCATCGATTTTTCAAGCATTACTTCGATTAACCGATAAATCAACAATAGATGGTACAATATTAATTGATGGAGTTGATATTAGTAAAATTAGTTTGAATGCTTTGCGATCAAATATAAATATTATCCCACGATTTCCTGTATTATTTAGTAATACACTGCGTTATAATTTAGATCCATTCGATCATTATACGGATGAACAATTATGGGATGCATTAGAAGCTGTTCAATTGAAGACAAAAAATAATACATTAAAAGACAAATTAAATACAAAAATAGCAGAATATGGAAGTAATTTTAGTGTTGGTGAATGTCAATTAGTATGTGTAGCAAGAGCAATTTTCAAACAAAGTAAAATTTTACTAATCGATGAAGCAACAGCACATGTTGATACAAAAACTGATGAATTAATTCCAAAATTTTTACGAGAAAAATTTACAAATCAAACAATTTTAACAATTGCACGTCGTCTCAATACAATAATGGATAATGATAAAATATGTTATTATGAAAGATGGTATTATTGCAGAATATAGAACACCAAGAGAATTACTTACAAACCAAGAACAACTACTCGCTGATATAAAGGGTGATAATGACGATGAATTAGTTACATATCTATAATAAAAAAATACATCAGAGCAATTCCTAATGAGTCAAAAATATATTATTCTGTCTTGATTGGATTAAGGGTATATAACGATAAAAAATGGTTTTTTAATGATTTCTCGTAATGAGGAATTGAAGAATGTTCTAAGCCCTTTTCAATTAAGATAGAAAATATGTGATTTCTAAGAATATGAAATAATTGTTCGAATGATTTTATGCTCTCTTAGTGATGATAGAATAAAATGAGAAGCCACGATTGAGGGTGTGGCTGGGTGTGGATATGGAGTGTGCGTGCGTATGGATGGGAACACTACTCACACCCACACCCACACCTCGCATCCACATCCATACTTCGCATCCACACCCACACCCACACCCACCCACACCCCACACCCACATCCACCCACACCCCACACCCACCCACACCCACACCCACACCCGTCAAAGAGCTGGAAATTCTTTCCTTTTTTATTTTTCTGGTCTAACCACAAAAATTTGATGATTGTGATCCTTAGCATTTCTCAGGAATACTTCGAAACAACTTGATATATTATATTTATAAGTTTCTCGATACAGTCTTTCATGTGCACTAACAGATAGAAAAAATATATTTACTGACTACTGGTATGATTCATGGTCCGACGAACCCTCCCTTAAATATCTTATGTATTTCTTACAGGCAGCAAAATTAAAGTACTCATAACTATTGAAGAAAGCTCTAGGAACCCAAATCCTTTTAGGGTTTTTACTAGGACACGATGTAGTATCTATAGACCAAAATTCATTAAAATCGGAGAGTAACACCTGAGGAGGTTCCCTCATTAGCAGCTCGAAAAGCATAGTATGTATGTTCTTCTTTTCAGAAAAAACAAGTAAGGGTGGGGTAGGTGTGGGTGTGTATGAGTCTTCTGCATGCCAACACTCACACCCACAGCCACACCCTTCATCACAGATGATATGCGATATTTGAATAACTTCGTTTGTCATAGTCTGAGCGACTTTTTATGCCATCAGACACCACGAATGATAAGTTGTAGAGAGTTAAAAAGAAAAGAGATCATTGTTGAGATAGCATTGGTTCCAGTTTCATGTATGCTTTTTTTCAAGCATAGCCCTTCCTATTGAGTAAGCTAATTTCAATATAGATTGCGAGGTCGATTATGAATCATCGCTTGTCTACGTATTCGATCTCTTCCTATGTATAAAAAATAGTCCAGTTTGTTCACTTGGGAGTAACTCAGGGACAAGATGATGAAATGTTCCAGAATACTATTCATGCTTTGAAAAAGAGCTACTATTCATATGTGTAGCATCTTCGATGGGCAACCAACAACGGACTTTTTAAATTCTAGACAAACAAATAGATAGACAAGGATACTAATAAAATAGAAAAATACTTTTTAAAAGGTTATTTTTCAATTTAGTCATTCCTTACCATGTAGAAGCATCACATCCAATAAACATAAATGATGCGGATCAAATTTCTTGTAATTTGGCACACATGTGCGATCACTTTAAAACGAACTAAAAGCAAACAGTCGTCATTGTGATTTGAAGAAACCTACAAACGATGTTTCGAATGATTATTTTCACAATACTATTCATTGCTCATATCTCAATCACAGTGTATGGTCAACAGCCGAAGGATGATTGTATGGCTGATGCCGGACCTATCGATGAATGCGTTCAATGGATCACTACAAGCTGTGACAACGCCACATTCATTACTGATCGACTCGCCTATATCGATGTTTGTCCAATGTTTACAATATTCTGGGAGAAACCACATTACAATCTGACGATTTTATTCGAAAGTCATTTACTAAAACCTTATAAACTCTGTGTGACACCTGTCGCTTGTACCAAAGCGTTTCGCACGACGGACGAAGGAGAGGAAGTTTTCATCGATTGGGACACAACGAGTCTTGAACCTGTCTGTTTCGAAACGAAGCGCTCCGATTTTCCAACGATGAAGTTTCGCTTCGATGCTCAACACCAGACACGTTGCATGCGAACATTCATCAATTTTCATTACGAAGGTTAAATTAATGTCATGTTGAATTTTTCTTTCGCAACTAGAGAGATTTTCAATGGTCTGAGAAATTTCAATAAATATCGGCAACAATAACAATTTCAAAAATAAGTTATTTGTATATTTTAATAATTTCATTTTTCAATTTTGCCGAGCCTCGGCGAATGGTGAATGAATAAGCATGAGTCATCGATGGATGCTTCAATATTGATTCAAAGCTTTCTATTTAGTTAGATGCATGAATGTGACCAAAGCATATAAAGTGATATTTCATGGTATGGCACTTAGACGAAGAGATATCATAATCAATTAAAAAACACAAGGTCGAAGAGCCTCAAATTCATGTCGACTGTGAATTATATGGTACACTTGTTGAAAGCAAAAACAAAAAGTCAATAAACTTCTTGATTATTTTTGAATTCACTTGTGGATTGCAGCTTTCAGAAAAGCATGAATGAATGTAAAAGTGACTCGAGAAAAATACTTAGATCTAGCCAAAAGTTCTGAGAACGCTATTGGTAATTTTACAAAGCAATTAATATTGAAAAGTTTTTTAAATAAATAAATAGTGGCATGTCTTGTGCATAAATATATAAAAAATTCTATTTTGAACTTAATTACAGTACTTTTTCATATAAAATTCAATTCGAACCAAAAACAAATTTGAAAAATGAATAATGAATTTGGTCGATATATTAAAATTGGGACTCTTTTGGGAATGAATCCAAAGACAATTCATGTAGAACTTGCAACAGCTTTGGGACCCAATGCTCCATCATATCCAACAATTGCAAGGTGGGCAAAGTGTTTTCGTGAAGGAAGAGAAGATCTCAATGATGATCCTCCAGTATCCGAACTTACGGCTGAAAGTATTGAATTGGTACGACAGGTTATCAACAATGATCCACACTCAACTTATGATGATATTATAGCTGAGAGTTCTCTCTCTTGTGATACAATAGATCGAATTATCCACAACTGTCTCAAGATAAAAAAAAAGTTTCATCCCGTTGGGTACTCCATCAACTGAATGATGAACAAAAGCAAGAACGAGTTAGACTTTTTCGTGAAAATTTAGCGAAATTTCGTGATGGTTTCTGACGATTATGGGATATTATAACAGGTGATGAGACATGGATTTACTATGGGCAGATTCATCACAAGTCAATAAATGCAAGCTAGGTTGGCGAAGGTGAAGCACCAACTACTATCGATCGTCGAAGTAAATTTCAATCAAAAAATTGATTTTGTATATTCTTTAAATCAAATGGTCCAGTTCTTATATAATATATATAATAAGTCCCATAGGATTATCTCCCGTCGTGGCCAATAAATGAAAGAATAAGATCTTTTCAACCTTTTCTATTCTGAGCTAGATGGAAAAGATCTTGTATATTGCAGTTGCACCAATCTGTGATATCATCTAACCATTCTCTAAAAGGACGGCCAACTCGAGATTTTCCATTCATTCTAGAGAATACCACTTGCTTTATTAGCCTGCTATCATCCATTCTACTAATATGTCCAAATAATTGTAACTTTCTCTTTTCTATGATATCCACAATAGTAGCTTTTCGGGATACCATTTTTCTTACAGCCTCGTTTGATACCTTATCTGTCCATTTGATTTTTAATATTCGACGATAGCATTTCATCTCAAATGCTAGTAATTTCTTTTTATCACAAGTAACACTCGTCAGCATGACTCGGTTGACCCTCGACTGATGGATTAGCTGCAATCTAGTTTTATTGAGTGTGACTATGGGTATGAAAGTCTTCTTTACACTAATACTGACACCCACACTCGCATTCATATTCCACACCTACACACTTAACTCCAGCGATACCCACAACCATTCAACAAAAATTAAAAGGACTACATTATGCCACCGATATCTTTACGTGTCCGAAAAAAAAAACAGTCTATATTCAGCTTTCTCAGAGATAATGATTCAAAACACATTCACAACAATCTTATAAAAATGTGCCATAACCTTTCAAATTTCTACTAAAAATCCATTTCCTTACTAACACATTAGCTAACAGTATTGTTTAATAGAGCGTCTGCTAAAAACGTACGGGTTTAGTTGAATTTTTAGCTTAAAATCAATCATATTCGGTCTGATTTGTAATCAAACTACCATATTTCAAAAGAAGCTCCTATTTAAAGTAGCTATTAGACGAGATAGGTAATTTGAACATATCCCTATATGTATCAATATTCGAATCAGTACATTTAAGGAAACATTCCAGCAGAAAACCCTGTTTATTTCATTCAAGTCTCATTTCGATGAGATGAATATAAAGTTTACAAGTGATTTTTTCTGTGAAATGCACTACACATATATTGTGCATGTAAAGAAAAGGCGTTATTACAGTTGATTTCAAAGCATTTCTTAGTTCTTAGCAACCACTATTCCTTATTCAAATCCATTCGATCTAGACTATTGATGTTCATTGGATGAGTCTCAACAGTCTGAAGCCTTCCTTCAAGGAGGGTGTGGGTGTGTGGGTGGGGTGTAGGGTGTTGGTGTCAGTGTGGATACGGGTAAGTAAAGAAAAACTGACACTCACATCCACACTCACACCCACACCCTCGCGGAGCTGTGGATGTCTTTTATGGGACAGGTATACTTATGAATCTGTCCTTATTTTACAACTATTACACCCGAAATAATAGCATAATAGTTGCATTTCAATTTCTTTCAACTGATTACTCAGGATACACAATAATCAAAAATAAGAAGCCATTGGAAATATCTTTTATTAAGTCGATCGCTTAGCATGCTTAGATGTTTTCTTAAAAGAAAATTGTTCTTACATACTCAGCCCTCTTGTAGTAACAGGCATTGTTTTTTTATTATTCAAACAGCATAGGAGAATCAATGAAAACACAGTGAAGCATTTGTATTGCAAATATAATTGTATGACAGTTCCATTCCGTTTTCTTTCGAATGACTACTGAAGAAACAGACACAGTAAGCAAACATAAGAAGCCACTGGAAATATCTTTCTAGTTCTGATTACTTGGCATCTTTATCTCGTCTTGTAGAATAAATTTTTTATTAGACATTTTGACCTCTGAGAAACTGGAATATTGATTATTTCAAGTTATCTCTTTCATGGCTTGTGCTATACATATGAACGCATACTTGCTTCTTTATTTTGTGTGCTTCCTTTCATAGCAGTATCAGTATGTTACCTAGAAACAATATAATCAAACATAACTGATTATATATGTGTAAGGTATCAGGTGCAGATACGATGATGATGGAAGTTACTGTTGGTAAGTTCTGGATGTTTATCGTTAAATTTGCTGTATTACGAGATTTCTGAGTAAACAATGTTATATAGCTGACAGAATTTGTCTATCTAGCTCAACTATTCATAAAAATCTATTCAATATGTCCCATTAAATGAAAGTAGATGATCAGAGAAATTCTTCGATGATGAAATCTATTTTGCACAAGTCTGCATATGAAAACAAGTCTTGAATTGTTTCTCTTGTTCAGAAAATTATTTGAGCGATATCTAAGCAATAATAATTACAAATCTGTATATAATATATTTGAGATCTTGGATTACATATTGCTCATTGTTCACAATCCGATCCGAAAAAACTGATAGAAAAACGCGCGCCTACTATGTTTTGAAAAGAATTGTGTTTTTTCAAATAATAAATCTGAAATCAACGAGTTCTCAACACATTCTACAAAATTTCAACATCATTTTTTTCAGATGTGAAACTCGCAAAATTTTACGCTCTAACACGTGTTTAAGTAAGCAAATCTTTTTAATTGACTAATATTTGTCTAAAGCATAAAAGAACGTTTGACATTACAAGTAATTATCAACCTTTATAGATTGCTTCTACGATTTCATTTTGTAAAATTCGTATGAGCCGCATCCTAAATGTATTATTGCATCTGGATCTGAAATATTTTTAACATATGAATAGATATATACATATAGTTTTGGTTACAATACACATGATAGGAAGGTTTAAATAAAAATTGAAATCTAACATAGAAGGAAATTTTCGAGTGATTCTCAAGTAATGTTGCTGTCAGCAGCAGCATATTCTCATTATGATACACTTTTTGTTGACATTGTCTGAATGTATTGAATGCAAAAGAAAATTCATTGCTACGAAAAGTTTGTTGTTTATAGGAATTCGTACAAGCTTCTCCTGCCTCATTATAAAAAAAACTTAAGCTCGCAAGCTTTTTTTAAGTGATGTAAAAGCAACTACAAATCTCATTTTTATATTATTCATCTTTCGACATAGACGAAAGCATACGATGTGGAGACCAATTCGATGGGTAGTAGTGCGCAAAACTCCAGTAAGAAATTTCAATGACGTCGAACAACCGCCAGAGAGATACGAGCATGTGGAAGATGATCTCAATAAGTGAGATATTGTTTATCGTTTTTTTGATTGAGGAAACAAGAAACTGTTTAAGGTATTGTTGCTGCTGTGTAGTTGTAGCAGTAATCGGAGCTATAATTGGTTTGATAATTGCTGGAACAGCTCTTGGTATAGGAATTATATTACTTGTGAAAAACTCCGGTAAGATACTATTACTGAATGATAAATATATTAGAAGACTAGTGACTGAAGGAAGTGCAGTTTTTAGTGAATTTAGACGCGAAAAATATGCTTTTTCTTCGTAGGTAGCAAGGAAAAAGATAAATATGAAAATGGGCTAGATCAGAACAAAGAATTAGAAATTAGAAAAAAGTTCAATACAGTTTTTAAGAATGCAAACACAAAAATAAATCAGAACTTATGTAACCGTCATGTCATTTTTTGGGTCTTTGAGAAAATTTTATCATCTTAGAAACTGATAATTTGTTTGTAGGATTATTTCTTTAATAGTCTATCTGTTATTAAATTGCAAACCATTCGTTAAATAGTATTACAGAGTTCTGATTTGTAATTGAATTTAGGTACATCAGTGGTATACTGTTGTCAAACATGTCAAACTACAAATACTACCAACGGTAAGTAATAGACTTAATACTTGGATGCTGCTTTCTACTACAATTGAATAAAAAAAAATTGAATACTTTCAAATTTTGTTCAATTTCCTTAAGCACGAATGATTGAAATAAGTCTAAGTAATATCAAAAATAACTAGCAAATCGAAGAAACGTCATGTAATAAAATAAAGGATTCAGGTCTTGTACATTCGGAAGAAAATCAAGTGGTGGTAGTTTTTCTACTCGTTATCTCGATTTTGTTAATGACTAGGCTTTCCTCAAGTTCAAATAGCTATCTTTGTTTATAGAATACTAGCTTTTTCATAGAAATGTGCGTGAAATGGAAATAGCTTTAATAAAGATCGTATCCCTCCGTTAGAAAAAACAGCAGAACGCCAAAGCTAAGTGTGGGGTGTAGTAGATGTGGATGCGGATGCGGATCTGAGTGCGGGTGTGGGTGGGCATGGGCTATGCCTCTTTTCTGTATCCGCATTCACCCACTCACACGCTCACATCTCACCCTGTTCCATAAATAACATGGCGATAACAAACTTGAATATCTTCGCTAGATATTAACAAAATGAGCTGAAATTTTTATCACTCATAGAGACTTACTCAAAGTTTTTTTGTTCAAGAGAGACATGTCAACAAATACTTTTTCTATTTATTAAAATTAACATTAAGAATCTTATTATGAGCTCCAAATGTTCGAATTGGTTTAGTTGTGGATACGAATGTGGGCTTGTACATGAAACTAAGATCTGGACTCACAGCAGTAGTCAGTTACATATACGGTCGAAAGGAGGAGATGATACAATGACAGAACGAAAAAGATGCGCTCCTCGTGGGACTCGAACCCACACCTTCTGCTATCCGGGCAGATGTCCTAAGCCAGTTAGACTAGAAGAGACGATGTTATTTTCTTTTTCGTCTTAGATCATCATTCTATGTGCGCGATCTAACATAGTCCCACACTCATGCAGACTTCAAAAATCCCGTTCAGTATCTATTTTATCAAGGTATTGAACAAGCACTATCTCGTCACCAGGAGACACTAGCTTATGGACTAATCATAAAGCAGAATCATTAATAGGTAAAACGATTTTGACTTGAAAGCATTGATACAAAACATACGATGCATTTATGCAATTGCCATTACTCTTGAAGTGTTGCATGTGTGCCAGGATGGGAATATTCTTTTAAATGGATATCATAGAAAAAAATATATCTTCAAGATGCTATCAAAATATTAATTAAATACAAATCAATCATTTCCCAAAGTTTTGCAATACGGATTTTTTGTTTTAGTAACCGCAACAAATACTACAGATGTCATTGAAATTACTACTGAACCCCGTAAGTACCAGGCTACATAATTAGATATAGCGATGTATAGTGATTGATTGAAAATGCTTTTGAATATTTGAGTTGTTGAACACGCTATATACGACACTGAAATAGGCTGATCATTGAAGCCCTTTGCAATGCTAAAAGGTAAAAAATCATGAAAAAACTTACAAATATACTTAGACAATACCGTTGACAAGTCAGATAAAGCTATAAGCATTTCTAAATTCATAGCGGTAGGAGTCTGAACTTTGATTTCTTTTTAAACGGTTTCCATTTAGAATTCTTTATTGCATCAATTCAACAACTATATTCGCCTATTACATAGATTGACTCAGTAGATCGATGATTGCCATAAAAAGGTGCGGTTTCCTTCGATGAACTTTCTAGTGAAGTTCCAAGTCTCTTTAAAGGGAGACTTGATCAGATACATATTATGCTACCTTAGCCTAAAATGAACACCACTAAAACATAAGTAGTTTATTACTAATGCTTTGCTTCCAGAATAACATCTTACGCGTGTATTAAATGTGGAAAGTGGGACGAAGGAGACTTCAATGCTTGAAGTTATACTTACTCTAGCTATGTTTTTCTTCGAAAAATATATGTCAACTAGTGAGAACCCGTGCATACTGCACGCCTGTTTTCTCCTTTAATGTATGACCTCAGACATTTAACCTTTCATCCGGTAAAATACATACAGACACACGATATTATGTATATAGATCGCTTGCCCTACGACCTCATACTCTCATACCGCACACATTTTAATAGTCCATGCAGCCTTCGGCCTAATATTCCTTATAGCCTTATCTCCCTATTGCCTTACTCCCTTCAGGGCCTATGCGTATCACAATATAACAGCCCTTGGGGACCTACGGGTACTCCATAGGATAGCCCTTGAGAACCTATGGATATTCCCAAAGAATAGCTCGTGGAGACCTGCGGGTACCGCCATAGGATAGCCCTTGGGGACCTATGGGTATTCCCATAGGATAGCCCGTGGCGACCTACGGGTACCCCCATAGGATAACCCTTGATGACCTATGTGTAGCCCCATAGGATAGCCCTTCAGGACCTATGAGTACCCCCACATAATAGCCCTTGGAGATCTACGGGTATCCCCATAGGATAGTCCTTGAGGACTTATGGATACCGCCATAGGATAGCCCTTGAGGACCTATGGGTATTCCCATAGGATAGCCCTTGGGGGCCTATGGGTACCCCCCCCCCCCATAGGATAGCCCTTGGGGAGCTATACGTACCCATTTAATAGTCCCTGGAGATCTTCCCCTTATAGCGTTATGTGAGCTTTAACCTTTGACCATTGACCCGGCACAGAGAAACAGACAGACAGGCACTGAACATTATATATATAGATTTTATAGAATAATTTATGCAGTCTCTTGTAAGAAAGAGGAGCTCACGTGGATAAGCCATTTCTTCGAATAATATTTTAACTTCCAATTTTTGCATGAGTTTCACAAGACTGGTTATACGAGGAAAACAAACAATCGATGAGATGCCAAACTGGATCATGATTTGGGTATCCCATAAGTTTTTGCTGTGATTTCAAAATTTCTGACAACAAAGGCAGAAGTCGCATTGATTCAAATCCGTATTCTTAGATTAGATTTGCTGTTTATATCTGATTTACATATGCATACTTTAAAATGTTCTTTTATAGTACACAGTATTATAGAGTTTTCGAGATACAGTAGATTTGCTTGTCGTTGCATAAGTGACTGACTCAATAATTTCCAATAAACTTCGATTTTGAGCTAGTGTGATCTCACTTTTCTTCACGAGTTTCAAAAGAAAAATCTTCATTTAAGAAGTTGACTCATTCGATTAATATGGTTATTTCTCAGCTTGTTTTTCGGCGGATCAATATGTAACTTTGGCGAATGGTCAGGTGATATCGATACAGAATCTGGTAGCTGGTGATCATGTTTTAACCATGTCCGATGATGGCAAGCGCTTTGTAGCATCTGAAGTGGCATTCTTTATTCATGCTGAAATGCAAAAACTTGTAAGTTACTTGAAGTTTTAGTGACTAACTTTTCACGGTATTTTGTTATCAAATAAATATAACGGCATGCAGCTCGAGTTAATTCGGCAGCAAACGTTTATACACAGTATAATACTACCTTTAATAGTCTTGCTTCGCTACCAGTATAGCCAATTTATTGTGGCCCAGCCTAGCCGTGCAGAAGGTCTGCTTGATATTCCTTTTTATAGTATGAGAACAGTATTTTTTTTAAATTTTTTTATCTGCTATAAACGTTTCTGCTCTTTATTATAAACAATGTTTTTACAGTGCACATGAACATAGGGCATAGAACTGTTAAGCATGATCACATTATGATGTGCATAATTGTTTCCGGTCGATCTTGTTTGATATGAATATCAATTTAGAAAGCAATACGTGATAATTCCACATTTGATAGTAGAAAGCTTTCCAGCATAACTGGCTGATCACGTTGATATTTTGCTCATTTGCAGAACTTAACGAAACCAGTGAATGACTTCTATCCATCTTGGATCCACATTCACAAACCTCCAGACTTCTAGATCCAATATCCTGGTTACAAGATATTCGATGAAGGCATTATAAAATGTTTTCTTCTATAGAAACAACCTTCGAATAAGTTGAGTCTCCTAAAGATCTTGTTGAGACTAATCACTCGGTTAAATTTACTCATGAATAATAAACAATAAAGAATGTACATTTTGCAAATCAAACGGTTTCTTGTTGTTTTTTTTATTAATTTCTAGCTCTATTCTATACTGTGACAACGGTCAGCGGTCATCAAATAAGCGTTACACCTGATCATTATATTCGTGTCGAAAATAATGGATATGATATTGCTTCTCAACTAACATTAAACCACTCTCTCTTTGTTGCACAATTAAACCATCCAGTTCGTATTCGTTCAATTAAACAGGAATTCAAAGCAGGTCTTTTTAGTCCTGTCACTTTTGCTGGTACAATTCTTGTTAATGACGTTTTTGCATCATGTTACTGTCTTAACAATCTTCGTGGTACACACTATGAAAAACATCACCTATATGCACCATTTCGTTTATGGTATTACGTGGCAAAATACTATTTAGGATTTGGTAGTGAAGTTTATCACATGCCAAGAGATAGCATTCATTGGGTCATTGGTATCTACGTTCAATATGGTCACTATGTTGTCTTTATTTATCATTCGTTGCGCGCTCTATTCTTTATGGGTTTGGTTGAAATTTTTATTCGCATCAGCGAAATTATCCATCCGGTCTTCATTAAACATGCTTATTATTAAAAGATACGAAACTCATGGCATACTAATATGACTTTTGATGTCTTTGCCACTAACATTAGCACAACATACAAACCAAATCGACTACCATCATAACTATACATAATACTATCTCATACAATTTCATGTTTTTCAGTATTTTATTTAACAGAATTTTCATACTAACATAATAATAATATAAGGAACTATATGCTAGCTTATATTAGTAAATGCTTAGTAAGAAATGGCATACCAGATTGTATAACAAAGAAATGAAAATTTGCTAGTAAGAAGCCAAGAAAAATAAATTAATCCAAATTCATAGTCCTTTCAAGTCAATAAGTGATTTTCGAATAACGGCAAAACACCGATCACGAAAATAGGATGTCAGGTGTGGATGATTATGCATCCACGGGGGTTTTTCTTACAATCATTTCCATCTCTAATTCCCTCACATCCTTCGTCGAATTAAGAATTACTCTGTGATTACTACATCATTTATTTTGCATTTCTTGTATATCTAATATAAAATATAATGAATTTTATATCAAATGAAAGTTCGTCAAGAGTGGGATTAATTGATATAAAATACTACGGGTTGCGAAAAATTTCTAATATTGAACGTGAGAAATTTTTAGAAATTTTATGTTTTTTTCTGTGGTAGAAAAGTAAGGTATGAGTAACTCAAAAATGGAGTGAAATGTTTTTCTTTTTTCGGGTCAACTTTTTGTGATAAAACACTCAAACGCAACTATTTAGAAAAACTTAAACAACAGTAAAAA